GGGTGGAGTCCGGTGCCACAGCAAGTCATCAACATTTTGTCGAGTGAAGATGGAAGAACAAATGGAAGAGGAGACGGCCGATCGGTCATTCCGCCGAGCTGGCCACCTACCCTCTTGTTTACAGCCTAATTCATGATCCCGGTGGGAGAACCGGTTTTCTGTGTTTATTCGCAAACCGAGAGATGCATTCCGGTTCCCAGTAAATCTCTGCCAGAGCAGGACGAACAGGTGGTTCGGCTTGCCCCTTCGAGGACTGAAGAGGAGAAAGAGGAGGAGGAGGAGGAGAGAAGTACAGGGCGCCAGTCTCTATGGCCAAAGGAGGAGTAGTGACAAGTTAAGAATTCGATCACTATGAGGGGTACATGTATGGCGAATGTTGGGAACAGATGAAATGGCACGAGGTTTTATAGTCATACCCAAATGAGAGTTTCGAAGGATCCTCAGCCGCAACCCCTCGTCTCTCCCCCCTTACCGGGTTGGATAGACACACCTGTTGGCCGAGAAGAGGCAACCAAGTTGTCGATATCAGCTGCGTAGTTTGGCCAAAGGTCACTATTACAGATTGAATTGGGAAACTGGTACCGTCGGTGCTTGAGGTCAGAGCAAGTCGTCTCCGATCGAGTTGCGGTTGCGAAGAGGGCGTTGGTTGCCTCGACCAACTGACCCTCGGGCCGGCCGGAATACATGCCACTCCTCTAGGACCGATGGGTGTGACAAGGCGTGTAGCCTCGTCTAAAAATGAGGGGAGTGGGAGCGGAGGACGGTGGTGGGCCCGAGACGGCCAACCGGGAGGCGAGAAAAGTCCGCGGCGTCCCATACAATCGGCCGTCCCGTCTGCTCGCCGGGAACACCTGTACCGAATCTGTTTACTCGTGCCGGGTTCGAGCCGGCTCGGCTACCTCGACCTCGTGAGAAACGTTAAAGGTGCTTAGTCTGGTGGACAGAAGAGGGATTGGGGGAATCGCAGATCGTCCCGCAGAGGCGACCACTATAAAAGGATAACCCGTAAACAGTCTGCTGTCAGACAAGTAATCAAAAAAGGAGGAATTATAAACGGAAAATTGCAAAATTGTCTCGCACGAAAAGCCGCCCAGCCTACAGCTTCACTGTTTCCATTCGTCTGCCTCTGTGGGCCATCTTGTGGGTGTACGCCCGAAGAACTAATCGGCTAATTAAGGAGTCGATGAATCAGCATGTGGGACGTCAATCGAACTGAAAATAAACAGTGTTGATTTCTTCATTTCATGAGATCACATTAAAATAAGTATTATTTTATTCGCGAAAAAATAAATCAGTCCAACTAGTCTTGTTGAATGCAGACCAACAGACGGGAAGTAAGTCTGCATTTATATGGGCATTTATGTGTTTGTAAGTATGCATGCATTCATGTATGTATGCAGGCCTATATGCATGCATATGGGTCTGTGTTGGGGTTGTAAAGGGGATCTACACATGTTAGCTTAATGTGAGGTTGGGTGTGCAGATGGGAGAGTCCACAAGTCGAGTTCGAGGGGACATGAGGAGGGCGGGTGGATTGATGCCAAGGCAATGATAAGGACATGAAAGGAGTATTGCTTTGTGATCGAGCCCAAGCACAAGTCTGGTCCTGAGAATAGAGGCTACTTTCGAGTCATTAAGAGTGATTGTCCAGCTTTATGGATGCCCACGTGAAGGCAGCTGGTTCCGCTGTTTTAAGTCAGCCCTTATCTGTTGACACTGGATGAGAAGGAAGAAGAAACCCCGTCTCTCGTAAACAAACTCCGCGACCCAGACCATAGGGCCTCCCTATAGGGTTTTCACGTCTTGACGACTCAGATACGATAGAACCGAGACCTCGGTTAGGGCTACTCAACAATGCCACTAAACAGCACTTGTTGCGAGGTGGCAGTCGCCAAGGTGGTAATGCGAATGAAGTTCCCATTCTAAGAGTTATTAGCTAACTGATAAATTAATTAATTATTAATTATTATGCCAATAAGCAGCTGACGGTCATGGGTTAATTGTTCCCACTCTTGATCCCTTTTCCCGCAAGGCAAGTAAGTAATTTATTAATAGTTAATTATTATGGCATATCCCAAATTTATAGTGGAAAGGGCGTATTAGTGGTGAGTGAGGAGTCGATGATAAAAATAGCTGAAAGCGACCACAACACTGAGCAATATTTCGCTATTCGGTCCCCGAGATATTGCGGTACCAGGAAATGTCGATCTCGAGGGCTTGACAACGAAGCATACGAGATGCAGTTCGTCGCCTAATCGGCACTTGATATTACGACATATGAATTTGCACTCTTCAGGT